TACACTAACCCTAACAAATATGAATGAATGATATTTTGATGTCATAAGAAGAAATTGATGCCTGTGTAATATTATCATGTCAATAAAAAATTATGTTCTTTATGATAAATTTAAAATAAATATCAAAATGGGAGCATAAAGCTAAAATTAGTATGAGATTTTTGACCAAAGAAGCATTCAAATTATTGAAGAACTTTTTTTTTTTGAACATTTCTCTATATTTATTGAATGAAGTGTCTACAGTGTTTTTCAATTAAATTTAAAAAGTAAGACTAGCATTTTCAATATAAACAATACAAAAAATATACAATTTAAATTATAAAAATATCAAAATACTCTTAGTAAATCTTACTTAATAAAAATATTTAAATATTTTTACTATTCAAACTATAAGTTACCATTGAAAAAAATATACTTTTAAACTTAAATTTTTTTTATTTTTTGTACTTGGAGGCGCGTGAGGAAACCTCCGATTTGTTTTGGGTGGGCAGAAGGAAGCCGTCGAGCAGACCATCTTTCTGTTATCTCTGAGATCTATGGACAGTCAGTCTTAAGAGCCCTTTTTTTGAGAAAAGGCAATATCAGTCAATCTTTAAGACCTGAATCACTGGACCCGAAAGTAAAAAGTGCGCTTGGCCAAACTTTCTTTGTTGGTACTTGGTAGGTTGCTCCTCTTCTACTTGGCCACAGAGAAAAGCATTAGTAAAACCTACGAGAAAGAAAAAACAGTAGTAATTCTTAAGATTAGGGAAACTCAAGCTGAATTTTTGAGATACATGTGACAGCAGCTTACATTTGTGAATAGCCTCAAAGGGTTGGTTCTATTAGTAAGTGCGATCTTTTAAATCAAGTTTATCTTAAATTAATACTTAAAAAATTAATTTTTTTTATACATCAAGTCAATATAAATTATGAAAAGTGTATTTTTAAAATTATTTATTAATAAATTAATTTTAAGATAAATAAAAGATGATTTAAAAATACTATAATTGTAAATACAAAAAAAACTTTATATACATGACTGTATATATATATCCATGTTCCAAGTTTTTCACTTATTAACATTTCGTGTAAAAAAAAAAAAACATTTCATAAATTTTTACATTGATCAAATTACAAATAAGGTGTCATGTCCAACTTTAATTATGACACTGGTGTTTTTTCTTTTTTTTTTTAATATTACGTCACAAACATCTTGCAACACAATCGAATTAAGCAGCGAGAGAGACATGTCATACGAGAGAAGCTGAGCTGCACATGTTCATTTCAACTCTAATTTTTAGACATGAGATTGGTATTTGGAGTTTTGACTGGTGGCACCATATAAACCTTTCATAGAAAAGTATTCTTCTATCCTACGTATGTACCCTGAAAAACTTTTTCTTTTGAGGGGAATGCATAATTTGTGAGAAACATAAGATAGGCAGCAAAAAGGTCTAGTTTTTACAGTTTTTTAAGGGATCCAAAGTAGGCTTAGTTA